GCAAAACCAACAACAAGTATTTAAGCATTGACGAGTCTCCGAAACCAACTTCCGCTGACTTTTTAGAAAACAAAATGATTACGGAAGACATTTAGAATGCGTTAAGATTAGTTACCAACATCTCCTGGATTAATCCTTTCGACAATGTCTCAATACGTTCCCTCAATCAGTTGGCCGTACCGCTGGCTATCTTTGCTTTGTAGAGATACCAAGAGGGTTATTTAGAAAGTTACGAATGCATTTCGATTATACTTCAAGATCTCTCAGATTAAACCTTTCGACTCTTATGACAATGTCTGAGTACGTACCCTCGATTGGTCGGCTGGATCACTAGTCATCTTTGCTTTACTTTTTGTCTCTTTGGAATTGAGCGTGTACTGATCTTGCGTTGCTTCTAGACATACCAAGGCGATATGGCATCTAGATTGTGCTCCAAGAACTCTAAGAATAAGCTTTCGACTCTTACGACTATGTCTGACTACTTAAGCATTTCGACTTCCATATAAATTTCTCAAAAGGCTCTCTCAATCGGCCACCCTTTGCATGACCCCTCGATAGGTCGAAAGGTCTCATTTGAACAGAGAGATACTGCGCTGCCTCTAGACATACCAAGATGATCGTGAAGGATATTCAAAATCGCCGTGAATGATACTTCATCCTCATAGAGACCAAGTTTTGTTTGGCTTTTACAATATCATCTCAGGACGTCATATCAGTCGGTTAACCTGAGCTCCATAATGAACTGTAGACATTTTTCTTCCCAAATTAAAATTTTAATTTCGGTCCGATATATCTTATTTTAAGTAACGTTTCTTCTTATTCAGCGATATCGGCGAGTTGTTTTGACTCTGTAGATGTTCATGAGTAAAAAATGGTAATCATCGCCAACAAGTCTCCTTGAACCAAACTGCAATAGTGTATGGCATCATCACATACAGTTTCAGCAAATAAGATTGAGAATGTTTTCGGCCAAAATGACGGACGTCCTGAGCGGAGAACGTTCAATTCACGGGTTCCTTCAATGCAAGGTCTTCTTTTCGGCGCAGTTTTTTATGTTAAGTATAAACAAACCTTTCCGAAATATAAAGGAACCTGAGCCGTGGGTCTTTTCTTTGGTGTAATTGTTATTGATGGTGCTATGGTTTGAAGGGTTCCAAGAATAACCATTTACGCGCTGAGCCAACTGGAGTGGCCCCACCGGAGTTCGCCAGCTCCGAAGCCAATGACTAAAAAATATATCTATTTTTTCGAATGAAAGAACTCTTCCTACGCATAATTTCAATTTGCCGAAGAATTTGACTAAATTTGAAGAGTTTTGCATCCTTACATTCTGCTTCATATATTTTCGGAAAACAACAACCATTAATTTAAGGATTACTGTGCGTTTGCCACGCGCGGTTTTCGACCAAAGAATTTATGCCGGCCACAATCGAGCGATTATAAACCAGGCTTTTATATATGGCATTCAAACGATGTGCATACATACATACATGTATACAAAACCGACAGACAGACACACCATTATAACAACAAAAGCACGCGGCAAATGTTACATTTTATGATCGCGCCGCTGCGAATGCCACATGCTGCCGTGCCACATCCCACTCGGTTGGCGATAGTCGTTTTCGTTTTTTCAGTAAAATTGATGAGCGACTGTCTTAGTTCGAGCAGCAATGCAATATTTACGTCTAAATTTTTTTTGTTTTTTGTTTTTTTTTCGGGTTTCAGTTTTATTTTCGTTTATTTTTTTGTTCTTGCATCCTCCTTTCGGTCAAGGTGCCACTTGGCGGCGGCATATTGCCAAAGAGTTGAATAAAGCGCGTGCGCACGCGCGCACAAGCACACATTGACTTGCGCTACTTCTTCTGCTGCTGCAGCTGGCCCACAAAGCTGCATCATTTGAATTTAATCGTATTTTATTGTGAAGTTGCATGTAAATGCTTGTGCCGCATGTATGTACGTATACATACATATCTACTTTTAAGAAGGGTATTGTTTTCCACAGAAAAACAATTTCTTTTTAACTTTATGTAGTATTTGTTGCTGTATAGATATGGTAATTTTTGTTGTTGCTCACTTGGTCCGGATAAGCGCTAAAACTTGTCTTTCAATGCAAAGGCGGTAAATTTATTAATTTGACAAGTCCACAGCGGGTGTCAGAGATCAAAAGCTGCCGTTTACCGCTCTGTGGGCGCGTACTTATCTATGTATGTATGTGTGTTTGTAAGTATGTATGTATGTTAGCGCTCGCATTTGTACAATTCGGCTACTGTGCATGGTTATCCACAGGAGTTGGAATGTGTGTGTGTGTGTGTGTGCTCACTATTGGGTGCACCCGAATGATTTATGTATGTTTGGTGAGCAGGTAAGCTACTTACCTATAATGGTCATACTATGGCAAGAGAGGTGGGTAGAGTTGAGACAGATTTAAAATTGGTGTTGATTAGAATGTTTGCTTTAATAGAATTGTTTGGGTTTTTTTACCACTTTTTTGATCGAAATTCTAAGTTATGACATAATTAGGCTGCTGGTTTGATAGAAAAAAAGGAAACATGGAAAAACGGCTGATACAAATTTGAGGTGAGAAATGATATGTTAAGATTCGGGAAAATTTTGATTAAAACTTCATTTTTTTTTAAAATTATGTATGTAATTTTCTGCTCTTCTTCAAGTTCAACTTCTTACCCAGAGTTACATATAAAAGTTCGCATTTTTAGTGAAACTAAGGCCGAGCCCGTATATCGCTAGATACCGATGGAGTTTTATAGGTACACATGTCGCAAAACCTGTCTCTTACCTATGATCGCCGTCACCATGCTTCCAATAAGCAGTTACCTCATAAACTCCACCGGAGCATTGTCCACTCCAAGCAATGTTGCCAGATTCACAGTTTCAACTGAAAATTACAATTTTTTAGACAAGCCGGCAAGTGTTTAAATTACCTCCTAGTAAAAATTACAGTTTCTTCGAAATTTTCGATTTGAAATTTTTAAGAAAATAAGGGACTCTAAAGCAGCAACGTTTCCTTATTTGAAAAAAAAAGAAATGGTTGCATTCCAGTCGCCACAGCAAATATGGCAATAATATTTTCTCAAATCAATTTGAATAAAACTAGAAACTCCCAGCACTCTCTGGTATTTTAAGTACTAAAAATTTCTCTCAACAAAAATTCTTCTTCTTCTAACGTGATTTAATTACCTCATTTCAAAAAGTCTATTTTTGGTTAGTTATATATAATTTAAACGGTTTATGTTAATTTATTTTAAATGACTCCTTTTTTGTTATTCGTCTTTAAAGAGTTAAAAGAAACCAAAAAGTTCTCAAAATTCTGTCCATTTTTGAAAGTTACGGGTTTTTGGTCGAAAATAACGTTTTTTTCCAGAAATTATTTCTTGAAAAAAAAAAAAAAATCTGGCAACACTCACTCCAAGTCCTCCCAAGGTTCATTAATTATGTTCTGATATAAATTATGCTTTCCCAGAAGACTTAATATGTTGTGAGATGCATTCTGAAAATTCGTTTCTTAAAGAATTTATGATTTCCGGAGAAGCGACTGTTACATTCATGAATTTTTTTTTTATTTAACTATAACGCGATCGATATTATACATAAAAACAAAAATATTAAGGTTTAAAAAACATGGAAAATACGAGTATAAAATAATCAAATAATCGCCATACCGGAACTTCACATTTCTTGAAACAATAGAGATTGTATATGGGCACTCTTTGGAAGATTGTGCCAAGCACAAATGTGCCGATTTCAATACAAGCAATGAAACGTGATCAAAGGTGTGGACTGAAAACACAAGACTGCAGAGTTTCAAGAGCTATGTGTAATGGCAAGATGAAAAGGTTTATTTTATCCTTTTAGAGGGAAGATCATAGGTAAGTAGCAGGTAAACTAACATTACACCCTTTATTTGCTTCAAATGTGTTTAAGTTGGGTATGATCACCTACGACAAAAAAAAAGGCAAAAGTAGTGGAAGGTCGACCTATCTCGGCAGCCGGTTCGAAAACGCTATATCTCAGAATTCTTTTCAATAACGCCCTACTTCAGAATTTTATTGAAAAAACACCGTATCTCAGAATTTGATTGAAGAGCAGCCTAAGGATTATGCTTGATCTCCTCAATTTTACCTTAAAACAGATCGACTTCCTGACAATTGAAATTAAGCATACTTTTTTTTAGAAAAGAATTGACAAGGGCTGAAACAAGGCCATATTTTTGTTGTTATTATTAAAAAAGTTTTTTTTTGTTTTTAATTTATGCGCAAATTCGCACAGGAGAGAGACAATTGGCGAAGCCTTTTTGGTTTCGACCCAAACCGACAAACGGTTGTAGTGGCAAATTAGAAAAACAATTGTAATGAGTGGTTTTCACCACGTACGCTATATTTTGAGAAAAAAATCTTTTGATATATTTCAAATAAATTTACTCCTCGTTAATATGTCTACAGATTAAATTGTGATCCAAGAAAGACCGATAGTCAACTAATGAGTTCCTACTGATTTATAAGCTTGCCGTAAAGTGAAAACGTGCCTTAAGGCATTTAATTAATATTTTCAACTCGAAAAATCATTAAGCCTAGAAACATATGAGATTTGCCTTAAATATTTTTATGGTTTATTTTTAAAGAATTTTTTTTTTAAATAAAAACTGTATGCATTTTTAATATTTGTTTGGGTTATTTTTAATATTTTTTTTTTAAGTCAAATCATATCGTTCATAATCCCAAAAATCAAAAACTGGAGAAAAACAGTTTACACACGCTTGCACGGTAAAAATGAAGACACATTTTCTTCTAATGAGTTATTGCTAATCGATACAGCTATGAAGAGATGGTGGTTGATTCTACATACATAAGTACTCAGCTATTTGTTTTGTGGATTATGACACTCTTGCAAGAAAGGTACGATATGATTTTCGAAAAAAAAAATTGAATTCGGTATAAGTAACGAATAACAAAGGTTGTGGTCAATAATTGTAATAAACTCACCCTGATTAAACCGCTGTCAGTTCGATGATTTATATTACTACTCGTTGACATTATTGTACGATTTATTGTTGTTTTTGTATTGACAATTGTCATAAGCATTTGTTCGTTGTTGTAAAAAATTGATATCGGCATTTTGTAGGCAGTTTGTTGTTGTTACAAATGCAAAGCAGAAATTAAACTTGGCTTTTATTTGACATTTTATTCAGATTTAAATTATTTTTTTTCATATTCTGGTATATATTTTTACGTAAATAAAAATTAAGTATGTTCACAGTATTTTTATAGATAGCGTTTCACACTTAGTTGTTTGCTACGCAAAAGTACACACAAATATATTTTTACAATTCGAATTTTTTTAAGTTATTGAAAAAAATTTTATAAACTTAGTTATTTTCTTTTATTTTATATTTAACACACTTTTCTGTTTTTATTTTTTTGTAACGTTAAAAACGTTTTAAACACTTGCTTGCGGTTTACGAGTACGTTAACTTTTTCCAATCGAAATATTATTAAAATTTGAGATAATTTCGTGACGGAGGAATACACGTCCGTTTGCATTGAGCGTTCGTCGCGGAATGTTGAAGGTGAACGCAGAAACACGGCTACGAAATGTATCTGTATCTTGTTGTAAATTTGCTGAGCTGTAGAGAAGTGCTGGAAGCAGTAGCAGCAGCAGCAGCAGCAGCCGCCACAGACGCTGCCACTGTCTGTTGTTTACTTCTTGTCTTTTGCCGAACGAGTGATTTGGCCGCCAAGCAAAGACATTGCCAGTGGCAACAACAGCAGCAGCAACAACAACATCAGTAAGTCCGCCGATATATCAGTAGGCCCAATTTCGTGATGCGTCGCCGTCCTCTGATACTCCGATTGCTGCTGCGGCCGGCTCAGCTTGTGGCAAACAATGTCGCCTGCGTACGTTTTGCTCATTCCAAATGAATTATTTAGTGCTACAGTGCGCGTATTCTCTTAGCTTGGCTTCTTGGCTACCATCTCACTCGCACTCCCTCACTCTCTCTCTCGCGACCGGCTCCTAACTCAGGTGCGCGTTGAGGCGCACTCTTCGGAAAACAACTTGATTGCAGCGACTGCGTGTCTTATCAGTAAATTGTTCTATGCTCTTAGCGTGGCAAACATGGAAAGTCACATTCGGTACGCTCAATATTTCTTATCGCATCTGCAGTTTACATGTGTGTGTGTGTGTGCCTGTGTGAGTTTGTGCCCTTGTGAGTGCAGAGGGTTTTGTTCTTGTTTGGATTTTTGCTCTTTTGTTTACATTCGTTTGCGCAAAGTACAAAGTGTATCTAATATATATAGCTGTGGGTATGCTATCGCGAATGCTGGCGGCAGTAGATAATAAAGCTGAAATTTTGTTTAGAATATGGTAAACAATAACAAAACTAATAATGATCCGTAAATGAGGCAATACGGCAAAATAGTGCAAACGAAAAGAGTATATATGTATGTATGTAGATATCTACATACTAAAGTACCCTGTGCTGAGCTGCTAATTTCTTTTTCTTCTAAGTACTTGCTCTTTAATAAAACTTACTACCTATAACATATGTCCCATAAGTTTTGGCACAAAACTGTTGCATTCCGTTACTGCATAAATGGGGGAAAAAAATTATATTCAACGTTTTCAATGTGTTTACAGTTACATAGAGGCAACTGCCAAACTCATAATTTTAGATTGTCTCATATAATAATGGCGTACAAACTCGAATTACGAAAGTCCGCTGAAAATCTTTTCGGCAGACTAAGTTCAAAGGAAATTCTGCAAGTATTCAAAGATAAGCCAATATCACGCCGAACTATTTTTCGGGTTCTAAAAGATTGTCGCGATGGTAAGGAACAGGAAAATAAGAAAAAATGTGGTCGTCCGCCAAAACTAACTAACCAACTCGTAAAAAGTTTGATAACTAGGGCCAAAAACAACGTTGGCCAATCCACGAGACGATTATCGCGAAAATTTGACGTTCCAAATCCACGGTCCATCGTGTTTTGACCAAGCATAATGTGTTTTACCGGAAACGTAAGCGTGCACCCAAATATACAGCCAGGCAGCTCGAAATAATACCAAAATGTTGTCGGGCACTACGCGACAAGCACTTTGTGAATGGAAAATTCATAATTTTAGACGATGAATCTTACTTCACTTTTTCGCATCATGCAATAAGCGGGAATGATGGTTTCTACACTGATAACATTGAATTGACTCCAGATAAGGTGAAATATGCCGCCAAATCAAAATTTGAACCAAAAGTGTTGGTGTGGGCCGCCATTTCATCAAAAGGTGTTTCAGTGCCGTTAATCCTCCCAAGTGGTGCTGCAGCGATCAATTCTGACACTTACATTAACCAATGTTTAACCAAGTTGAAGCGTTTCATTGAAAACAATCATGCTCGCGACAAAATCATGTTTTGGCCGGACTTGGCAAGTAGCCATTACGCCAAAAAAACGTTGGATTGGCTCACAGAAAACAATATATTTTTTGTACCGAAAAAGGACAACCCTCTGAATATCCCAAAGGCACGTCCAATCGAAGACTTCTGGGCAATACTTAAGCGTATGGTGTATGACAAAGGCTGGGAGGCTAAAAATGAGCACCAGTTGATTGGAAGGATTACGCGAAAGATAAGGGAAATGGATAAATCGGTCTGCCAGAACATGATAAAGAAAGTTCCATACATCCTTAGAAAAATCGAGGATAATGGTCCATATAGTGTGGTATAAAAATAATTTTTAGTAGACAATAAACTTATGAGACACGTGTTATATGGACTATTTAAAGTTAAGAATTTGCTATATCCCTACTTCATTAAATTTCTTATCTCCACTTTGTTTTTAATTTTATATTGCGTTAAAAGTAACCCTCCGATCCATCAAATGTCTGGGCGCTCCCTTATAAAGTGTTAGACTCTCTCCTTTGAGCCGGGGACCTCGCAGCTGCGACAGAACCTATTGAAGGGTTAGACAATTTTTCGCCATGTACCCCATATGGCCAGTGCGCTGTAACGACTGCCGTAAGTTTTCAAAAGACACCTGGCTTTAAGTGGGCCATGGACATGAACTGCCGAGGAATCCTGTGCTATCTCCTACGGTTCCACCTCGTCTAGCCTTCTAATAATAACATGTGTGTGTGTGGCGCTGATTTCTTTAAGAATTTTCAAAGAAAATCGTAGGAAGGCGTGGAAATGAACTCGTAATGAAGATTTTATACGATTATTTAATTCTGAAATGTAAGAAACATTCCCACCATGGCCCCTACCAGCTCTGCGCCCTGGTTTTGAACAGCTTAGCCGGTAAACCGTATCCTCCAGGGGCTTTGTTGTTTCTAAGCTGAATAATTGCTGTTCTCACTTGGTCTTGGTCTTGCAGGAACGTGAGCTTCATGGTTATGCATATATTTGTTAGAGTTCTTCTTCAACAAACGCTACCAGTATCGCCAGCCTCGTCATTGCTCAGAAGAGCATGTGTACCTTAGCTGTATACAAATTTGTTTGGTAATTACTAGACTTGACCCAAATAGGCCAACCGATTAAAAATGCATCATTTCGGGTCTTATTCTGGTCGCATTTCTGTATATTTATTTTTTTGACGTGGTCTAATAAAGGTTAGGTTAGGTTAGAGTGGCTGCCCCGCGCAGAGCACGGAGCGCACATAGGCTG